CTAAGCACTTCATGGCGACTGATGTGAGCGCCACTGGCCTGAAGTCATTCAGAGCTGATGTGTCTGATGTCTTAGGGACCGGTATCCATCCATCCATTTTCTATACCGCTTACTCCCAAACACGGTCACGGGGGGCTGGAGCCAATCCCAGCCAGCTGTGGGCGAGAGGCAAGGTACACCCCGGACAGGTCGCCAGTCCATTGCAGCGCTAACATGCAGACTAACAACCACTCACACACACAATCACTTCTACGGGCAATTTACAGACACCAATCAACCTATGCTGCTTGTCTTTGGACAGTGGGAGGACCCGGAGAGAACCCACGCAAGCACGGGGAGAACATGCAAACTCCACACAGAAAGCCTCCGGGTCGGCCAGGGCTCAAACCTGGAACCGTCTTGCTGTGAGGCAACAGTGCTAACCGCCTGCGCCACTGTGCCGCCCAGGGACCGGTATGATAATGGATTTTTTGAAAATGCAAGGAACTACTGCTTGGGTTAAAGACAGGTTGAAGATGTCTGTATGCACACTAGCTAGTTGATCCCCACAGGCTCTCAACACTTTGGGGGGGACACCATCTGGTCCAGCCACCTTATGGGGGTTTACTTGTCTCAGGGCCTTCAGGACCTGTGTGTGCATCACCTGAAAAGCAGTGTCCCCTGGGTCACAGGGGGATTTTGAGGGGGGTGTCTGTGTTCAACCTGTCAGACCTTGCATAGAAGTTGTTGAGGCTGTCAGGGAGGGTGGCGTCCTGGGGCTGGGCATAAACTACACTCACAATGATACATTGCAGCTCTTGAGGTAAATAAAATGGCCTTAGTTTTAGTGTTAAATGTTCCACATCTAAGGGCATATAATGTAGAGAGGTTTATTAGAGATTTAATATTCATCAGTTATAGTTACTGTGAGTTAATTGAACTCAGGGCCTCTACTTTATAGGTGGGTTACATACAGATCCATACAAGTCTCTATTTTTAAGTACTCTATTTTTATTCCTATTTATCTCATTTCAATGAGCATTCCTTTGTTTGTCTGCATTGTTTACTGCCTATTTACAGTGCCTTGCGAAAGTATTCGGCCCCCTTGAACTTTGCGACCTTTTGCCACATTTCAGGCTTCAAACATAAAGATATAAAACTGTAATTTTTTGTGAAGAATCAACAACAAGTGGGACACAATCATGAAGTGGAACGAAATTTATTGGATATGTCAAACTTTTTTAACAAATAAAAAACTGAAAAATTGGGCGTGCAAAATTATTCAGCCCCCTTAAGTTAATACTTTGTAGCGCCACCTTTTGCTGCGATTACAGCTGTAAGTCACTTGGGGTATGTCTCTATCAGTTTTGCACATCGAGAGACGGAAATTTTTGCCCATTCCTCCTTGCAAAACAGCTCGAGCTCAGTGAGGTTGGATAGAGAGCGTTTGTGAACAGCAGTTTTCAGTTCTTTCCACAGATTCTCGATTAGATTCAGGTCTGGACTTTGACTTGGCCATTCTAACACCTGGATATGTTTATTTGTGAACCATTCCATTGTAGATTTTGCTTTATGTTTTGGATCATTGTCTTGTTGGAAGACAAATCTCCGTCCCAGTCTCAGGTCTTTTGCAGACTCCATCAGGTTTCCTTCCAAAATGGTCCTGTATTTGGCTCCATCCATCTTCCCATCAATTTTAACCATCTTCCCTGTCCCTGCTGAAGAAAAGCAGGCCCAAACCATGATGCTGCCACCACCATGTTTG